CCTTGTGATAAACAAACTGCAAGATTATGTACAGTAGCGCTGTATGTAGCTTACATTTAAAATTGAAATCTTCCAAATAGTTACAAAATATGAAATGAGAACTAAAACAGAAATACCTTTAAATCATTGGCATTTTCATCATGAAACAAGTCAAAGGATCTGCAACAACAAGTCAGTAGCAAATACATGTATCAAGTTGAGATGGTATTGATATACAAGGAAAATCTAGGATTTTGATTGGCTTAGCCACCATGGTGTAGTAGCCATAATAACATGGCTGTTCCTAGCTTCAGGTTACTTGGAAATGCATATCTCTTTGGCTATCAACCACTTCACTTCCAAAGCATGCTTGTAATTCCATGATAATGAACAAATAATCAAGAAATCTTGTCAACCTTGAAAATTCTTCTCAGTAAATGGAAAAAAAATACACTTGATTCTTGTACAAGTTGACATATATGTTAGAGTAAAATATATTCTCTTACTTGATCTTTGAACGAAGTTTTAGAGAATGTATTCTTTGAAGTTCATCCTCCACTGTTCTTGTGACTTCAATGTCTGCTTCTGATTTCTAGAGGAGATTAAGTATTAAAACAAATCTGTTAGAAATATTAAAGACTAATAAGATTAGTGTAGATAACTAAAAGGTATCACATTACAGTGCATACCAAACATTTTTCATTGTGTTATATACTTTTTGTATCACTTACAGAAAATGCAAAGAAGCTCTGACCTAACTGGTGCTTGAACGATTCACTAACCTGGTCCTCATTTTCTTTTCTTGCTTTCTTTCTAAATGAAGAAAAAAGAAACAAATTTGTTTTTAACACCTTAAATAAAAGTTAAAATCAAAAGAGGGCAACAAAATAATCTCATTTTTTTAACAGACCTTTGTCTCTTAAGTTTCTTTTGTAGGTGTTTCTGTATTTCTTCATCATTTAATGTTTTAAACAATTCCAACTGTGAATCATTGCCCTTTAAAAAAACCAAACAATGTTTTTCTGTTAGTAGTGAAACAGAGCAGCTAAGTTTCCTTTTTGATACCTTCCAATTAAGAAAGATGTCATTAGTTTCAAAATACTTGCATGACAAAGGAAAGATCCAAGTCTTTCATGGCAATTTAAACATCAGGGTGCAGTCATTAAAAGGGTGCATAACACTATCAGATGGATATATCATTATCCAGTAGGGAAGTGTTCATCAATTCATCCAGTAGGTAGCATTATCTACACTTGAAACAACCTGGCCCAGGCCTTCAGCAGTCTGACACTTTACCACTGAGCCACCAAGAACTCCATGGTGACTTAGGCCATACACTAGGTTCCTATGTGACGAGCACCTGCATACTGCAAGGATCAACATCAGGGCGTGAAATTAATTTTTTTTTCTGATAGCCACTTGGCTCCTAAATTTTTCAAAGTGGTAGCCAATTCAAAAAAAGTTGGTCACCATTTTTAAAGACAAATAAAACCTTTTTTAACGCTGTTAGCGTTCTAGATAGACCCTCCAAAATTAAGTTAGGAAAAAGATCTTTAATGTGCTATAAATTGGACACTAGGTTTAATTTTAATTCACTTTATCTCTAAGTAAGGTTATGATGAAGCATTCTAGTCGCTAATTTGGCGACTAATTTTCAGGATTTGGTTGCCAAAGTGAAAAACTTAGTTGCATTGGCACCTGTATTCACGTCCTGAACATACATGTATGTTGAACATACCATGTGCATAGATGGAGAAAGAACATTTTTTAGTAAATTTCAATGCTCATATCTTTGCAAAATTTAGGATAAACTTTGAACCTACAATCAAATGTCAGTGAGCAAATTTAGCAGGTATATTTTGCACTTACAAGGCACCCAAGGAATGTTTGTGTTGAGTCAGACATAATTGACACCACTCTTTCATGGCTATGACGGAAAATTGAGCCAATCAGTGTACAAGAAAGCTGAGTTCCCTGGCAGGAGAAAAAAACTTATTAGTATAGCTATTTTAAACAAAGCAGAACATCAGTGAAAAGTGTAGCTGACAGGTGTGGAATTTCATAAATTGCTTTTTCTAGTTAAAAAGTGTCATAACACCACAAGTCATCCATGCTTTCTTCAAAAACAAAAAAAATCTTAATTCTTGAAAAACCACATGAATAGGCGAACTCAAACTTAAACTTATCAGTCAGATGTTGTTATCATGATTTAACAGTGAATTCTTGTAACTAAATTACAAGGAAATGAGTAACAGCTAGATGGGAGAGCTACAATCAGATCTTGGGAGTTAAAAGGTTAATAAGAAATTTGATAACTAGATCTTTAAACTGAGTTGTTTCCTAAAACTCCTTTTTCATTCATTGTTGTAGGAAATTACCTCAGTTTGTTTCTCATCTGATTCTTCATCTAATCCTGCCTCTTCAGCATTTCTTTTACCTCTGTTCTTCTTACTACTTTCACTCAGTTGCTCTGTGTCACTCTCACTGTTGCTGTTAATTTTCCAGACTCTAAGTTCACTGTCTGCACACCCAGTTATTAATCTTGTTTCATCATGGGTAACTGTGAAACCCCATACCTACAAGTAGAAGACAACCATGCAACTCTAAATATCTAATCACTATAAAAAGTATCCTCACAGTTTGGAATGGTTCAAAGGGTTTTAAAATAAATGGAAAATTTCTCTTAGATCTGACTTCTAACAAACAGAACATATATTTCAATGTTCCACAAACAGGATTTGATTGAGTGAATGAGTGCCAAACTGACAGAAGACAAGTACAAACAGAAAAATAGATGGACAGACAGAAAGATGGACGGACTGACTGACAGACAGATGGATAGACCATCAGGCTGCCTGACTGGATGACTTTCAGCTGGCAGAGGACTGTCAGACAGAAAGACAGACAAGCCAATGGATTGACTCAATGACTGACAGGAGACAGACAGACAGACAGACAGGTGGACAGACAGAAAGGTAGACAAACAGGAAGGTGGACAGGCAGACAGACCAACAGATGGACAGACAGACAGATGGGTAGACTGACAAGGTGCCTGACTGGATGACTTCCAAGCTGGCAGGACTGTCAGACAGAAAGACAGACAAGCCGATGGATTGACTCAATGATTGTCAGGAGGCAGACAGACAGGTGGACAGACAGACTGACTAACAGACAGACAGATGGGTAAACTGACAGGCTGCCTGACTGGATGACTTGAATGATGGAGTTCATGGAAAAATGAAAAACATTCAAATTACATTGTGAATAACCTCTTACCACTTAATTCAGAAATATTCAGACTAATATTACTCACCTCACTCCGGTGACCAACAAGTGTAAGAAAACAGTGCTGTGTGTCAAGATCCCAAAACTTTACAAAACTATCTTTGGAACTAACAAAAGTAAAACAAGAGAATCAATCTATTTATAATAACTAACCACTTATATAGAGAAGAAACAATTTAAACAAGTTCTGTTGTGAAAGTTATTGAAAATAGTATAATTTTAATAGAAATGAAGGATGCCGAAGAGTTGTGGTGTTGTAATTGTAAATTCACCCATTCACTCTGACCAGGGTTGCATTTTCTTAGCTCAAGGGGTGCACACTGCTTATTTTCTCCCAGGAGGATATACTGTCTAGAAAATCTGGATAGTGGCCTGAAAAGGGCTCACATCCCATCAAGAAAGAGAAACTGGTTCAGAAATACAACTGGTGGCTTCAGGCCATGGAGACAAAGATGTGCTCTATGAGTTTGTGTGCAAACTTTATGCTCCCCAAGGATATCGCAAACCTGAACCACCCACTTGAGAGGAAAGGTTCAGATGAGACAAATCACTTAATTCAAGTCATCAAAATTGGGCGTAAACAACAACAAAGGGTTACCACTTGAAATGTCAACTTTTAAACTCTTTACAGTGGCCAATTTACATTATTAACTCGGTTGATGATGCTAAATTACCCTTATACTCTCCCACCAACCCAATACCACAGTTTCTTCAGAGACTTACCTCCTTTATTTGCAAACTTTATTATCTACTTCTTTTGACTCTAGTGATGATCTATTGTTTTATGAAATGTAACCTTCAATGAACTGTTGACTTACCTTGTTACCAGAACATTCTGACTTTTCATGAAATAACATTCTGTTATTAGTCCTTTGTGTCCCTTGAAACTGATAATGAACAAGAAAAAATTAACATCAATGACCAAAAATTACAGACAGTTAGGTATCATTCATGATATTCTAAGATCTATATTAACAAAAATCTAACAAAATTGTATTAATTTGGTTCTCACTTCATTTCACTGAATTTACAGAATAATTCAATCTGTTCCAAAAGCTTTCATCACTTATCTGTACCAGTTTAGATTTCACTCAAAGGCTCAATCAAAACCAAACTGTAAAATCAGCATTAATGACATCTGTAATGAAATCTTTACCGGTAAAGACCAGCTTCATTGACAGTATCCCAAACTATGACATCTGTGTCCTACATACACAAGGGAAAAATAACAATTATAAAAAAACATTGGTGTACCAGTAAGAGCAAAATTTATGCAGGGTAACTTAAGAGCCCCAGACTTCTCAAATAAAATAGAAAGAGGGAATAAATTTTGAGCTTGGCCAATAAATGAAGAAAAATGTCACTGACTTTGTCGAGAACTTAGGACAACAAAAAAACCTTAGCCCCTCACAAGAGATAAAACCCCAGACCTATAGATTTAATGCTCCTATGCCCAACCTCTAAGTTACAGACTGAGGAATCTATGATAAGTGAGGCCTTCCCTTGGCTCACTTGTGACACTTGTTGTGGTGGGTGCTGCTAGGTGTAAAAAATCTAATTAAAAAGAAAGAGGCCAGAGTTCATACTGCATAGAAATGTATGCATTAAACTTGTCAAATGAATCACAACAACTGGCTAAAAAAAAACTCCAAAACTTCTTAAAACTCCAAACAAAGGGGTAACAAATTTAAGTGGATGAAATAAATGAAAACCACCCATTCCTGGTATGTCAAATTAACCCTTTACACCCTATTATCGTTATGCATTTCCTCTACACTGTTCTCTCTACATTTCCTGCGGTGCTAACAAGGAGAATTTGTTTAACAATCAAGAGCTTCTTTAGTTGGTGATCATTTCCTTAATTTTCATGACCTTATTGCATAAGTCACAACTGATATTGTAAGGAGAAAGACACAGTAGATACAATTTACCCTTGATCCTGAGACAAGTCTTCCTCCTGCATCATCAAACTTCAGTACAGACACAGCTGACTTGTGACCACTGTTTTTTTTGGAAAAAGGACCAATTAATCATTTAACTTCTAGAAATTGATAAAAATGTAACTTCTCCCTAAAATATCCATGCATTATCCAGCAAACAGGTAATGAGGAAACTCAAACTTATTGGACAGAAGTTGTTATCTTGATCTACAGTTGTATAACACCAAGTTCTCAAAACTAATTCACAAGGAAATGTGTAGCAGCTAGACAGGAGAATTAACAATCAGATTTTGGGAGCAAATTGGTTAAAGACTAATATGGAAACTGTTAGAAACAATGTTGTCCTGTACATATACAGTTGATGATAAAGAATGACAGTTCACTTGAGGATAGGCATGAAAAGACTTTCAGCCTCATTTGTATGAGCACAAATAATTGACATTTACTTCCAAGTTCAATACACTGATCAACTGCATTCAATATAAAATTTAAACTTCTATAAGCAACCAACTGAATTGATATGTTAGACCTGTCTCAGTCTCTTGTGGGAAGTGGGTGAGCAATTCTCAAAATCATGACTCCAGTCTTGGAAAAATTTTCAGAGTTTGGAAAGATTCCCCCTCAAAAAGTTTGCTACTCAAGAGGAAGGATGATTGTATTAAATGGAATTCTATACTGAAAACTTCCCTGCATGAGAGATTTCCTTTATCATCAACAATTGCTGAGTTATTGTTACCTGAATGTTACTTGACAAGTATTATCTTGTAACTTCCACAGCCTGACTGATCCATCTTCATAGCTATGAATTCGGAAGTTGAAATTCAATGGTAATAACATTTTTGTGAAGAGCAATATGTATAGAAATTGTCATCGGTTTAACCCTTGAAACCCTAACATCAGTAAAGGTATTCTCCATACTGTTCTCTATACATTTCCTGAGGTGCTGACAAGGAGAACTTGTGTAACAATCAACAGCTTCTTTTGCTGCTGATAATTTTCTTTATTCTCATGACCTTACTGCATGATTCAGGGGTGATATTGTGAGGAGAAATTAGATGCTAGTCACTTGTAAGGGCTAAAAGGTTAATACTTGTGTCTACAGTTCTATGCCAGATATCATTAATGTGGAGTATCTCTTACCCAACAGCTAAAACTTGTTGATCAGGACTAACTTGTAGAGCTGTGACTTCATGTTTGTCCCCAGCAAGCACAGAAACCTTGACAGTGATAAGTAAATCATTACTACACTTATATCAAGAAGACACAGTGTCCTAAAGGTTGGTGAGATATACTTTGGGTCAAGAGGTCTGGGTTCAAGACCTAGCCGGGTCAATGTCTGGTGTTCTTAGAAAAAACAGTCTTTTAGCTTACATTGAAGAAATGTAAAATGGTTTCCGTGTTTACATAGCCTGATATAAACACGTGGGAGATTGGGAGAACACGAGATAAGCGTAGGAAACCATGACACAAAGCAGAGTGGTTTCCAGCTTATCAAGTGTTCTCCCAACCTCCCAAGTGTTTACATCAGGCTATGTAAACATGGAAACCATTTTACATTTCTTTTATAAAATAACTAATGAAAGAGGAACGAAAACCATGTTTACATACGCTCATGCAAAATGGTTTTATGGCCAATCAGAGCGCGTGTACTATTTGAATTATTTTAGTATGAGAAATATCAATCATAGTGTGAAGAAAATACAGTATGTTTCAACTTTGCTTAAATCAAAGGTTTCAAGCATTACATATACTGTAGCCCTTCTTCAAAGACTAATGCTCCACAGAACAGCTTTCGAATCTCTATGCATTGGCCAACTCACATTATTCAGTTCATAAAACAAAATTATATGGTAATACCCCCACTGATGCTACACCACAGTTTCTTATAAAATAAGAAACTTACGCCTTCCTATAATTTACGGAAAAGTCTAAAGAGAAGAAAAGAGGTCTTCATCACTGAGCTAGTATTAGTTGCTTTATAATTATGAAACGAGAGAAGGTGTAATAAGCCCCCGCAACATTCCCTCTAGCTCCTACCCAGGTTGCCATCCCAGCACAAATTAACATGATGTATACTCCAGAGTGGCGATTGGTAAATGCTGCTTGTGTCGTGATCGGGAATACAGCACAATAGCAACAGCCAATAGTTAAGTGTCGTTAAACTGGTTCATTGTCATCAAGGGCTTTTTAAAAATGCTGATGTTTCTGCTTATGGTACTTTTAGCTGGATTAAAACAGACCCCTGAAATGCGCATGATGAAAGATGCATTCATGTGTTCCTATCGAAAGTGACTGCTGTAGTGTGATCAGATCTCACTTCATCTGATTTCCAGCGCGGACGGGAAATTTAAGTTGTAGTTTCTGAGTGAAATCACTCAGTGAAGATGTGCTTGGAGTCCTCGGAGTGTCCCAAATATTACAGTTTTCACTCAAGTTACAGAATTCGAAGAGTGAAGAGTCTAATCATATACACCACAACACACACTCTGAACAGTTCTTTATAATCTAGGTACTTAATCTCTTTTTCCTCCGATTGATATAACATAAAATGTACCCTACCACCCAAATAAAGATAAACTCGCTGTTACCTTTTCTCCTCTTCTAACATCCCAAATTATAACGTTCTCCAACGCCGGACAAACCGCGTATAGAGCGATCTGCTTCCTTGTCGTGTTAATTCTTCTCTTAATAAACACAACTTTCGCTTTCAAGCTGGAAACAACGCCAAAACAGGCAGATTGTACATATCTGAGGTAGGCTTTCGTTAGAACCATTTTGTTTTCAATCGTTCACTACACGTGAGCTGGTAAGGTTAAATATGTTGTGTAAGACTACACATACTTTCCAGGAAAACTTAGGAGCCACCCCTTCTTTATTCAGTTTCGCTCGGCGACTAAGGCTACATGCCCCCTAACTACATAGCAAAAAGGAGTGATGGAGAACCGCTCGAAAACTACCTTCAAAGCTCTATTGAGTCCTCCCTAATCTATCATGCACCCATATCCAATGAAACCATCTAGAAATTCAAATGAACCGTCCCAAATCAGACGGAATCTTCCGAATTAGACCAATCGGACGTCTTATTTAAGAAGCTTTGACGTGATATTTTCACTTTTTCGCTGTCCAATTTCTGTGGTGTTCCTTACAACAAATTTTAATCAATAAAGATTGAAGAGATCGGAAAATTTATTTCATTTCCGAGTCAGTCATTTGGAATCGTGGACACATCTTGCTATGTTAATTAATTCAGTAGTCCTCCTCAGAACTAACAGACCACGATGGCTAAAAAAGATAACTGCGCAGAACGACGGAAAAAAAAGAAGATGAAAACGATCATGATGATAAGAAGAGAAAATTGAAATAAAGTAAGAAAACTTTTAGACACAAACTATCTGTGTTCAACCTCAGTTACTTACGGGCGACCGTGACGATTTGAATTGCCATGCAACTGTCACTCAACGTGCATAAGTCAGCTATGGAATTGTAAAAAGATAAAAAAATAACTAATAACGACAATTTTAATAATAACGTAAAAAGAGAGAAATATTATATCTAATTTCGAAAAAAATCCAATGAAAAAAAGCAACCGACACCAACCAAAACCATATTAGAAAAAATATCACAGTGGCCTAAAGAGAGAACTGCCCAGAAAAAAAAGGAAAAAGGAGGTAAAGATGACAATAATAATATGAAAAAAAGACAAATACAGCAAAAACAAAAAGCAAATTCCACGGGGAGGAGTTACTCGGCCCCCAAGCCAGTTTGAGAGTTACTCCTTGTCCGCCAGCTCCAAATCATACTCGGGGAGAAGTTATTCGGCCCCCAAGCCAGATTAAGAATAACTCCTATAGCGTGATTCGAACCCGCGACCTCGATGACCTCTTCTGCACTTGTTGCGCGCCCACGATTACCAGTCGACCATCTGGAATATCCAAATTATAACAGTATAAATAGTCGGTATGGAGAGTTTTCAAATACGGGTTTGGGGGGGGAGGGTGAGGAACTTTGTCTGACTGAGAATGCAATCGAGCGTTTCCGGTCAAGAAGGAAATGAAGCATACAAAGAACTGGTCGATAAGCGGATATAAACGAGGAATGTTAGCATAATGGCGGACGGCCTCATTTGCAGGGGCTCGTCAAACGAAACGATTTGGAAACTTTTTAAAGAAGCTATCGAGAGTGTGCATTAGCACAATGTTACGCGCCAAGTATCCAACATTTTGCAACTTTCCTATACATTCATTTCTGTTACTTTGTGGTCACTTTTCACTAGACGAGGCATTTATAGAATTTCATTCGTTAGTTTAAGCAACAGAGACTTGTAATGTTGGCCGCTGTGCTGAGACTTGCAAAAAACATTTTACATCTCCTTTTCGCTCATGAAACAAAGCATCTAAAAAATATTCATTTTGACACAAAAATTAGATCTCTTTCAAAGAGATCTTTCAAAAAAAAAAAAAAAAAAAAAAAAAAAAAAAAAAAAAAAAGAGGCATAGACATGCATTATTCCAAAGCACACACTTTCATAAGTTTCACTAAAATCCGGTCATGCTAAAACGCAGACTGCAAACTGCAGACCGTGCAGACTGAGGAATTATTTGTTATTTAACCTTCAATCCGGTGCACGTATGATTTTATATATATTTTCATTTATCATTCTTGCTTACTTTGAGGAGCTTCCATATCTTAATAGCACCGTCCTTTCGAAAAATGTGGGGTGCAAGTGCATGAACACAATGCGAATATAGTTTTGATGGGGCGTCCTTGATATTTTCATCTTTGCACACGTATCTCTAGAGTACTGACTTAATATCAGGTAAAACATAATTTGGAAATTATATATTACCACAAGATATCTTTCTGTCTTTTGGTCGGTATAAAGAAGAAAACTATTTCCCAGGATGAGACGAACAGGTCATGTGATAACGTTTCTTTCTTAGGTCTGACAAATGGACGTAAGGTACATAAAGTGTTAAGTAACTTCGCTGACCAGTTCGCTTTTTGTTCCTGACCCCTCCCCACTTTGTCTTTTAGATTAAATAAAACCCTTTTTATTTCCTGGTAAGGTTCGATTTAAGCTTGCAGTACTTTCTTTACTGTAAAGTTATTTGGGCTGTCTTGTGTAGATCCTGCATGGTAATTATTTGCTTCGTCCACACAGTCCATTCCTTACCTCTAAACCAGTCTCACTGTCCAAATAAAAATAAAGAAAGAGTTAATACAAGTATGTGACAAAAACTAAAATTCATTTCAAAACAAGGGAAAATTTAAATAGAACCTACCCTCGTCGATCTACATCTTTTGCCATGTGAGGCTCATCTCCACGTGCTCGATAAAGTTGAGCCTGCGATCTCGTCCAAACTGTTGCAAAGTAACATGAGTTCGAAATATCCTCGTAAAATTAAGTCATGTGGTGTCGAAAAAATGGAAACCGATCCAACGTTACCAAAAGAGTAAGAAAAAGATACTCACACCTGAATCATATGCAAATCTGAGTTAG